CCTCACCGTCAGGCAGCCAGGTCAGTGGGGTCTGGGGCCATGAGCAGCCTTGTGCCCTCTGGGAGCACACACACAAATCGCCATCGGTCTGTCCGGGATCAGCACCCTCACCGTCAGGCAGCCAGGTCAGTGGGGTCTGGGGCCCTGAGCAGCCTTGTGCCCTCTTGGGCACACACAGATCTGTCTGACAGTGACAGTGAGCTCAGCACCCTCACCGTCAGGCAGCCAGGTCAGTGGGGTCTGGGGCCCTGAGCAGCCTTGTGCCCTCTGGGAGCACACACACAAATCGCCATCGGTCTGTCCGTGACACTGCGTCCAGGCACAGGGCCACAGGACAGACCATGCTGATTCCTTTATCCCTGTCTTGTTGATTGCACTCTTTTCTGGAAAGGGTGTAGAGCAAGTTCTGCAAATATAACTGGATGGGCTTGGCATTTTATAATTTACTTTTTTTTTTCTTCAGCACTTTTGGCAGATTAAATAGGGTAAGCTCCTGATTTTGTACACATTTTGATTGACAATAGGACGGAAGAAGCTACCTGTGCTTCCCAGGTGTGTGCCTCAGAGGCAAGGTCCTTTCATGAGAAGAGGGCACACTGCTGAGTCTTACTGAGCTTGCTGTCAACCAGCACCCCCAGTTCCTTTTCTGCAGGGCTGCTCTCTGGCTACTTCTCTCCTAGTTCTACTTGTACATGGTGTTACTTGGACCAGTCAGTTCAACTTGTTAAATTCCATTCCATTAATTAAAGTCCAGAGCTCCACTCTATCTAGATCACTTTGTCAGGCCTCTTATCCTTCAAGAGAATCAGCAGCACCTCCCAGTCTGGTATTGTCAGCAAATTTGCTAATGGTGCATTCAACTCCTGTATTCAGATCTTTGATAAATGTATTGAGCAGCACTGGCCCTAAAACTGAACCCTGAGGAACAGCACTGGTGACCAGTTACCAGCCAGAAATAGCCCCATTCACTGTGTCCCTTTGAACTCTGCTCTTCAGCCAGTTCTTCACCCAGTGCACCATGAACCCCCCCATCCCACAGCTGGAAGGGTGCTGTGAGGGACAATATGAAAAGCCTTACTGAAATTGAAAAACTGCATCCACTGCTTTCCCTTCATCCACTGACACAGCAGGTGAAACAAGAATATTAAATTATTTAACCAGACTTCTCCTCTGTGAAGCCATGTTGGCTGTGTTGATGACTGCATGGTTCTTTGAATGTCTTTCAGTAGTACCCAGAATAATCTTCTCCATAGTTTTTCCAGGAACTGAGATCAGGCTAACAGGTCTGTAGTCTCCTGTGTCTTCCCTCATGTCCTTCTTATAAATTGGAATATATACTGGCCAGCTTCCAGCCAAAAAGCACTTCCCCAGACTCCCAGGGCCCTTGGATATGTTCAGGAGGAGTCCTGCTCTAACACCTGCTGAGTCCCATCAGGCCCCATGACTTGGGGATGCTTGGCTGACACAGCTGATCCCTCACAATTCCAGAGTCTGTGGATGGAAAAGTTTCTATTCCTGCACTCATGGTCCTCTGACTCATGGGACTGGGCAGCCCAAGGTCTATCAGTATTATTAAAGACTGAGGCAAATAAACATTGAATGCCTCTGCTTTTTCTTCATCCCTATTAAATAGGTAACTGTCTTCAGCAGGTACCAGTTCAACATTTTCTTCAGACATCTTCTTGCTATTAACAGCTTTAAAAAAGTGCTGACACTACACTGACTAATTTCAACTTTAATTGAGCTTTGACATTTGTCTCTTCTCCCTGCATATGGGAACTACAACTGTGTAATCTTCCTGCAGAGCCTCCTTTCCAGAGATCATACAATTTCTTTCTCCTCCTGAGCTCCACAAGTAGTTGCTGTTCAGCCAGCATTGCTTGACTTAGGACTCAGTGGAGCTGCCTGCTCCTGTGCTCCCAAAAGGTGGTTCTTAAAACTGACTAGGACTGATGGACTCTTAAACACTTAAAAGCAGATTCCCAGAGTACTCTGCTAAGTTTTGCCTGTTTTAACAACAAATAAGATGCAAAGGCAGTTTACCTTGGAAAATACAACTTCCCTAGTTTTTGAGGCATATGACTCAAGATTAAATGTCTTTCTTAAAGGCTGTAGGACAAATAACAGTACAGTCCTCCTTCTTTGAGTACTTTCCAGCTTCTAAAGCAACCACTCTGCATGTTCTGCAGTGCTTGGTGGCTGCCCATTCCAGCAAGATGTCAGCCTTTTAGCTGTGCAGCAGAGCTGGCAAAAGCATGAGGTTCTGGAAAGATTTTAGTGGTCATTCCTGGCAGAGATTTGTACTGTGGAGGAGGAGCAGGGGACAGCAGAGCTCTTATCAGCCACATCTTTGCTTGGGAACTTTTGCTGGCCAAAGTGGCTTGAGCAGAGAGACCTCCCCAGGCAATCCCTGTGCCGTGCTGGGTTGTCAGTACAGCTCTCCATCCAGTGTGATAATTGCCAGCCCTGATGGAGGGGATAATGAACAGCAGGAAAAATCTCTGAGGCTCCTCTTGAATTGCAGAAGAATGTGGAGTGGGAAGAAGAGAGGGAGTTGGGAGTTCACTAATTGGAAGATTTTTTTTTTCTAGAAGTGCTTTGTTGTTGTTTGTTTTTGTTTCATAGCAGTCAGTACTTAACAAAATGACTAACTGTGCTTGTGACTCATGTCTCATTAGTGAGGATCTCCAGCCTCATTTGTCAGGGCCATAATCATCAGCAAGGGGGGGGGGAAACCTCTCAGCACCTTCAGGCATCAATTCTCTTTCTGTTTAACCCCCTAAAGGTGAGGGAGGCTTTGTGTTAGTTTTGACAAGCCATTTCCTTCTCTTCCTCCTTTTTACCTTCGTAGTCCCCAAAATTTCATGACTTAACTCATTCCTGTTTCTGCTCAGGAGTCTTCTTTGGGAAGGTGTGAACTGCAAATACTCATTATTGCTTATGGCCTGAAGAGCTCGGGCCTTAATTGAGATTTGCCTCACGGGACCATTTGAAAAGGGCTGGGTGGGTGCTGTCATGAGAAGCTCACTGGACACAGCAGCTCTGGGGCTGATGAGAGCTGAGGGACAGCAGCTCCCTCCTGAGAGACACCCAGGGTGTTTGCCCAGCTCTCCTCACTGGAGAAGAAAGTGCCTCTCTCTTGGGTGAGCTATCGACTTGCCCTTCCTGCTCAGCTCCACTTTGGAAAAGGCTTTTTAATCTTTAAATGAAGGCTTAGATCCAGACTGATTGTCATCCCTGGAGTATGTGCTCCCTGGCAAGATGACTAAACCAAATGTTAATTGCTCTTGAAGTCAGCCTTTAATCAACTCATCGTGGGTTCTGGCCACTGTGTCTCAGTTAGGTAAAAACATCTCTTTAGCCTTGCAGCAAGCACTAGAGGAAAAAAAATGAGGAAGACTTAAGGAGCATCCTTGCTGCATCAGTGTTGAGACCATCTCTGTGGAGGAACCTCTTACCTAAGGACTTTCCAAACTGCTGGAAAAGGTCTTCTCTTCTGTCATAATGATTTTCAAGTCCTTTGAGCACTCTCAAAGAAGGAAAAAGGAAAAAGCAGGGAATGCAATGTTCTGTGCAGCAGTAGCTGGGGAGGAATAGCACATGGCTCCTCAGCACATGCACCAGACATTGGTATCCTGATACATTGCATGTCTGGATGAGCTGCAGCAGCCTTCTCCTCTCATCTCTTAGCTGGAGTGAGGGTGGGCAGGGGTAGGATGGTGCTTTCAGCCAGCACCTGTTTGACCCTGTGCCAGATGGTGTGTGGTGAGGTGAGGATGCTGTGCCTGCAGGGTTGGCCTCAGAGGTCCCTGTGAGTCTTGGCAGGCTGCATCAAGATTGGGGCTTTGCTTGGATCGTTCCCAGCACCAGAGTCATGACAGTTTGTGTTGAGATAGAGTGGTTTTGATGATATCTCAGCACTCACCTCTTGATTTGTGTCATCCTGTCATCTCAGATCCCACCCTGCAGGTGGACACAGCCACGGCCAACCTCACGGTGCAGGAGAAGGAGTCCTTCCCTCTGGACTGCAGCATCCTGTCCCGCTCCAGCCCCGAGTCCCACTTCGCAGTGACGTGGTACAGCCTGCGGGCCAAGGAGGCGGGTGACCACACGGAGCAGGGGGAGGAGGAAGAGGAGGAGGAGGAGAGGGAGGCAGTGCTGAGTGTGGGCCCTGATGCCATCTTCAGCCCCGAGGCTGGCCGCTGGGAGGGCCGCCTGCGCTTCCAGAGGCTCTCGGCGGTGCTTTTCCGGCTGACGGTGCTGCAGGCCGGCGCTGCCGACACCGGCAACTACTCGTGCCGAGTGGAGGAGTGGCTGGCGGATCCCAATGGAGTCTGGTACCGGCTGGCCCAGGAGGAGTCGGGGATGGTGGCTGTGCACGTGCAGGATGCAGGTGAGAACTGCTGGTGACTGTCTGGGGCCGTGGCCCTGGCATCCCCTGCATCTTCTGTTCGACCAAGATGAAAAGACCAAGGAGTGAGTGGGACTGGGGCAAGTCTGTGGTGCTGGTACTTCTCCAATCAGCTCAAGGGTTCCTAAGATACTATAAAATCTTCACTAGGAAGGACTGTCATATTATTGGGGTTTTTAGGATGAAGGAGGAATTGAGAGTTTGACTCTATGTTTTTAGGAGGTTAATTTATTATTGCATTCTATTCTATTAAAGAATGTTATACTAAAATTATATTAAAGAATAGAGAAAGAATACTTACAGAAGGTTATAAAGAATAATTATGAAAATTCATGATTGTTTTTTGACACAGTTGGATGGTGATTGGTCATTAAGTTGACCAAATTAAACTATTTGGTCATTATAGTTTGATGACCAAACTGGGGCCAGTCTGTGGTGCTGGTACTTTTCCAATCAGCTCAAGGGTTTATAAGATACTATAAAATCTCCACCAGGGAGGACTGTGGTATTTTTGGGATTTTTAGGACAAAGGAGGAATTGAGAATTTGACTCTATGTTTTTAGAAGGATATTATTCTATTCTATTCAAGAATGTTATACTAAAATTATATTAAAGAATAGAGAAAGGATACCTACAGAAGGTTATAAAGAATAATTAAGAAAATTCGTGCTTGTTTTTAAAGTTTTGACGCAGTTGGATGATGATTGGTCATTAAGTTAAAACAACTTACATGAAACCAATTAAACAACTGCTTGTTGGATAAATAATTAGATAATTATTATTTTCATTTTTTTCTGAAGCTTCTCAGCTTCCCAAAAAAAATCCTAAACGAAAAAATATTTCCAAAAAATATAACAATAACCAAGGACTATCGCTCCTTAAACTCCTGGGGGGGATAAAGCTGAAACATGCCCCATTAGAACTTTGTGTTCTAACACTGTTATTTTTCCCAGAGCTCCACCTCCTGCTTTGACATGGAATAATGAGCATCTGGTATTCTATGTTTCTGAGGAAGTTTGCATGGCCTAATTAGAGAGAAACCATGAAATGTGACCACCCTTTGTCCCTTTCCAGGCTCCACGCTGCAGTCTGTCATCTGCTCCAATGACGCCCTCTTCTACTTTGTGTTCTTCTACCCCTTCCCCATCTTTGGCATCTTGATCATCACCATCCTCCTGGTGCGGTTCAAGAGCCGAAACTCCAGCAAGAACTCGGAGGGCAAGAATGGGGTTCCCTTGCTGTGGATCAAAGAGCCTCACCTCAACTACTCTCCCACTTGCCTAGAGCCACCAGTCCTCAGCATCCACCCGGGAACCATGGACTAGAGAGGCAGAAACACCTGTAGGGACGCACAGAGGGAGAGAAGTAGAGATACACCGGGAGCCCTGAGGAGCACAGTGGGGTTTGTTGTTCTTGTTTCGTTTGTTTCAGTCTCTGTGCTCCGACACAGTGGCTGAGCTCTGCCCAGCTACCAGGAGCAGGAAGGTCCAAGGCTTCTTCCAGCACCTGTGGGAACATACCCCCTCACCCCAGTGGACAGAGGCACTTGATGTTCCTCTCGGACTAATTTGACTCACATCAGTTCCTCTCTTTTGGGCTGTTGCTTTTTTATCATTTATTTTTTGGTCACTCAAAGAACTGTAGACTTTGCCTGCTCTCCACACAGTGTGGAGTTCCCAGGGGGTATTTGGTCCTAGGATGATCTCTTTGGAAGTAAACGTATATGTTTTCCAAAACAGACTGTTTTTCCTTCTCAGACTCAGTGCCACAGTGAAGATCTTTTCCCGAGGTGCACTGAGCTAACTCCTCCCTCTTCCAAAACAGACAAAGCCAGGTCTGTCCCCAGAGGGGTTAACTGGGCTGTCTGTCAAGAGGTTCATTTCAAAAACTGGCTGTAGCCTCAGCATCTTCTTGCCTCCACCTTATTCCTTTTCTCAGGAGGGAGCAATTCACTTTTTGGGAGTGTTCCCAGGTCTTGGAGAGACTGAATATTGAGCGTGCTTGCCGTCAGGACAAAAGCAGTTGAGTTTGTCTCACGGAACTGAAGGGGGGAAAGGAAGGACACCTGAAAGCCCTGACTGTGTTGTAGCAAAGAGCGTCCTTGTGTGGCCTCACCAGAGTCATGCTCCTCCCTGGTGTCCATGCTGCCACCTCAGATGAGGCAGATCTCCTCTGTGCCCCAGACATTTGGGAATGGGAGGCTTAATCCAGTCTCTGAAGGCTTCAACATGACCAAAGTAAAGACTCTAGGAAGGAGGAAAGGAGAAGCTCCACAGGTCACCTTCACAGTCCCTGGATGGTTCAGCCAAGGAGCCCAGTAGCAAACATGCCACGTAGTGGGGACGTGCAGTTAACCACCATGTGTCACGAGTTTTCCTGTGGCTGCACTGCTCCCCAGAGTGAACCTGGACAAAGCAAGGGGCCTGCAGCCCATCAGCACCCTGGGGATTTCCCTGTCCCCTTGGCCAAGAGAAATCTTCCCCCTGCGTATATGTGCATCTGCCATTTGTTTCTGAGACTTTAGGAAGAGAATCCATTTCTCCATAAACTCCCCCTCCTGGCAATGTCACCTGCTCTTGTAAGAGTCGCTGTGGCAGGAAATGCTGTTCTTTCTGTGAAAGATATGCTCTTGTGAACCAAACCAGGGCTCTGGCCACGTGGGGCACCTGACCCCCTGCACCCCTAATGCCAAGAACCCCTGCCCTGTCCTGTGGAGGAACCGCCTCCTCCCCTGTAAGCGTTCCGTCTGGCGGAAGAAAATGTTTGCCAAAAATGGCCTTTTGTTGTCTTCCTTGATGTCTTCCTGGCAAATCCGGCCATTTCTTTTTTTGCAGCATGGCTGAAGCCAAGCGGGGGCGGACGGGTGCAGCCACAAGAGCCCCCTGCCTCATGTGTGAGAGGTGCCATACCCACAGCCCTTGTCCTCTCCGGAGGGTCGGACTGCTCTTTGGGAGCAGAGGGGACCTCAGCAGATGCTCTGTAGCACTAAGTCAGTAAGACCCTGATGCCTTGATATTTCAGAGGTGGTGAAGCTTCAGGTAGGAGATCTGCACTGTGAAGCCTTGCTCCTGTCTAGGAGAGGACCCACGTGGCTGCAGATCATCCTGTGCTAAGGTGTTTGAAGTTGGCCACCTCTGCACCTCCACCAGAACAGGACTGGTTTCTTCTGCTGCTGGGAAGCCCCAGTTTCACTCGCCCTCTGTGAAGTCTGCCTCCTGGAGAAGTGACTGCTTCCTGGCCCCAGCATATGCATACAATCACATTCCTATATCTGTACGTATCGCACACCCGCACACTTGTCTTCCCTTTCTGGCTAAGACGTCTGCAAAGAGAGGAGTGGGATGAGAAGTGAATGGAAATGAAGAATTGAGATGCAAACAGCTGCAGCTGCAAGCCAGTGGATATTGTTTCCTGACTGTTCTATCTCCTGTATGTACTGTTCCCGGGCAGGAACCACGACTCACTTCAGCTTTAAGGAAGAAGAGAGAATGAAGTCAGCGGGAGCCATTCTGTCCTGGGAGAGCTCTGCTCTGCTCCTGAGCCACGCTCCTCCTCGCCAGCCTGTCTGCCCCAGAGCAGGGCTCTCCTGGAGGCCTGCCACACAGCCCAGCCTTTCCTGGCAAGTGGCTCCCACAGTGGTCCCTGAATGTACCTTGCTGGTGACATTTCTCCATTGCTCTGGCAGTGTGTTGCCCAGTCTCAAACTTCTCTGAGTTTTTATAAGGCAGCCTCTTCCTGTAATGACTTTTGACACAAAGCTTGTCAAAGCACTCTCTCTGCAGTAACTGTCTGTAATGAACCCAAGAAGAGAGACCCTATCCATGCATGATGTGGAAAAATGTTTGGGATTTTTAAAAAAAGAAAAAAGTGAAAAAAACCCAACAAAAACTTTGTACTATGTTGCACTAAAACATGTTTTATACAACACACCCGAGAGCTGTAGTAAACTGTGTTGAAATTGTGAATCCTATTGCTGCTGGTTTTTGTCAGATCTGGGCTTTTATTATGCCTTTATGTGCACTCAGAACATAAAGGAGTGCTGAGGCCCTGCTCCTGGGAACCCTCTCCCTCTGCTCCTACTCCTTGATGCAATAACTTCTCTCCCTACCACTGGTAGCACATCTCCTCTCTCTTGCAGCTGGAGCTTGCAGACACCTGGCACCTCTGATTTCATACCCCATCCAACCCTCAGCCCATGCCATAATAGAATCAAATATTTAACAGAGGTCTGTCAGGACTTTTTATTGAACACACTGGTTTTGAAATTGTTCTGAAAACAGTACAAGTACTTTGCTGTGTCATAGTCTGGATTTGAAGTAAAACCTTATTTTAATAGAATTATGCATAGCAAACGTTAAGCAAATTACTTTCAGTAACCTTGATGAAAGCAGAATATAGTTCACTACAGAAGCTGAGGTACAATGCAACCTGTTTAATTCTCCTTACCCACTTTGCCTTAAGTAAGGATTTGGTCAGGAGTCCTGAATTCTCCAATATTCACTGAAATAGGCAAGTAGCATGATGCATTGTACGTGTATTGCAGGAGTGGTGTAGAATTGGGTTTAAGGCTGGGTTTGGGAGTTTTTTCCACATTCATTTGAAACAAAAAAACATCCTCTGCTAAAATAATTTTATAAGAAAGCTCTGTTGCCCCCAGACACAATCGGCTGCTTTTGCCAGATGCTGGTTTGGGGGGTTTCAGTGGGGTTTGCTGCCTGTCCTGCTGCTGCAGCAGGCCCAGCAGGGCTGCTGTGGGTGCTCCTGCTCCCCTTGAGGACCACACGATGTGCAGCCACCCTGCAGCACAGGAGGGATGTCTGGGGCACCACTGTGCGTTCCCATCAAAGCACCAGCCCCAAACTAGCACCGACGTGGCCTCCCCAATGAAGCCAGCACACGAATTAGTATGAATCCTAGGATGTCTTTAATAGTATAGTATGGGTGGAAGGGGATTTTGTCACAGTCTGAGGGGATGCCTAGTGGGTTATTTGAGCCTGTTGCATGGAGGAAGGTGAGATGGACGAGTGTGGGCCCTACGATGACGAATGAGTGGAGGAAATGAAGGGCAAAGAATCGAGTTGGTGTGGGGTTATCGACAGAGAACCCACCTCAGGCTCATTTGACTGGTGTTTGCCCAATGTAGGGGATAGCTGAGAATAGGTTTGTGATTGCAGTAGCCCCTCAGAATGACATTTGACCTCATGGTAGAGAAAAGGCAGGTCTGGCTCTGGCTTACATTCTCAAGATTTAATCTGGCAGCTTCGCAAACCAAGCGAGAGAGCACAGGTAAGTGTGCCTGTGGTGTGGCTGCCATCTCCTGCCTAGAGTATGCTGTACAAGTCCTTGGCCACCTTCTCCAGGCGCTCCTTGTACTCCAGGTGGGCGTAGAGGTTGGGGGGAACGCCCTTGAAGGCGTGGATGACGCCCCACCAGCTGGCGGCGATGGCAGCCGTGGAGTCGCTGTCCCCGCCGTGGAAGAAGGCGCGGTGAGCCAGCTCCGTCCAGGAGTCCCCCGCGCCCAGCAGGGCGTCGTAGGCGATCATGGGCGCGTCATGCCCGCTGCTGCCGCCCCAGCCGCTGTAGCTGAGCGAGGTGTAGAACGCGTCTCTCTCTTCCACGCCGTACTTGGCCGGGAATTTGGGCAATGAGACCCCATCTGAGATGCCTCTCTCCTCCAGGTATTTTTTCCACTTCTCTTCAAAGTAATACCTGCCGAACAGGAGGGGATGGAGCGGCTGTAAGTTGTCCCAGGGCAGCAGCACACAGCTGAGCACTGCGCAGGCGCCAGCGGAAAACGCACCACATCACCAGCCTGGAGCGAGGGCTCGGCAAAATGGCAGGAGGCCCCCATTTGTCAAAACTAGGGGCATGATTTACGGTAAGAGGCACAAGGACAAGTTTCAGTGAGTTAGATTTCCCCTCCCTCCAGTCACATGGGAGAAGGCAGCCCAGCACCTGCAGGATTCAAAGGCTCAGAGTGAGAACTGAGTCATCCTCCCAAATTCAGAGCAGCTCTACCTCTGTGTGTGCCCCTGCACACAGAGGTGCAGTGAATATGCAGATTTGGTTATAACTTTCAAAGTGAGCTCAGCCCTAAGCTTGATGCTGTTCCCCAGCCCTGCTTGCCATCTTTCATAAGACCACAGTTACATGAGATGACAAGTCTACCTGCTTCATACTGGATCCAAAAAATGGTCACTAGCACCTGACCCAAACACAATCCGCCTTTTTTTTTCCCCCCCAAGGTAAGGTACTCTGAATTTATTTGATACTGTGCCAGGTGTGGGCCCCCCTAGGAGTCTGCCATAATGTGATTACTGAAACCTAAGTATGAGCAGAGCTCGCCCTGTGGTACAAGGCCTTTAAGAAATGGCAGTGCGGGGAATGCAGCTCACCATTGCTCCATGTTCTCCTTCACATAGAAGCCGGATTCCTGCACGTAGGCTTTTGCCTGTGGCAGCACCTCCACGAGCCCCTTCCCCCAGGCCACGGGGGGCACGCCGTTCACCGCGTAAGCCGTGAAGAGGGCTGAGGCCAGGGCCCCCAGGTAGCCGGTGGGGTGGTGGTGGGTCATGCGGCCGCTCTCGATGCTGACTCGGATCAGCGTGTCCAGCTGGGCGGGCCGGTAGAAGCGCAGCCCGATGCACATGGCGCGCATGGCGGCCCCGCAGCCCCCTGCCCGCGGGCTGAACGGGATCCGCCAGCCGTTGGGCTGCCCCGGAGCCAGCTTCCTGGTGCTTTCCACAGACATGGCACCTGGAGACAGCCACAGAGCCCGAGGGAAGGGAGAAACACAAACATCAGCAGGAGGCAGCTTGGGAACAGGGGGAAGACAGGCAGGGCACTGGGGAAGGAAGCATTGCTCTGTGTAAGGGATTTGAGCTTCCTTTTAAAACCGTAAGTTGTCTGCTCACATGCATATCCTGCCTTAAACTGCTGGAGCAACCTACGTCCTCCCCAGCAGACCTGATAATTTTTGTTTATGAAAGCAATTAAAAGGTCTAGGGGGTAGGAAACTCCTCATTGCCCATTTCCTGGCATGGTTTATATTTACATTTTGTGTTATCAAAAAAACCCATATATACTAATAGATATATATGCACATACCTAGGTATCTCTCTTTCTCTGTAAACAGAAAGGTTTGTAGGATCTCTGGCACAAGGCCAGTCTAAGTAACTGCTTTTTCACAGGACTTGGAAAGGCAGAGACCCCACAAGCTCCTCATTTGCCTCACTAATAGAAAATGTACTGGTAGAAAATGTTTTCCATCTCTCCCTTGCTGCAGTTTAAGTTTGACCGGAAGCCTTGAGTGTAGCACCTGTCTCACCTCAACACGGTCTGCATGACTGGCTCTACTGTACTCCTCTTTCAAAAGCTTAGGAGCAGCTGTATTAGGTGGGACCAAAGGTTTGTCCAGCTCACTAGTTCATCTCCAAACACTGCTACTAAAGGGTAACTACAGAAAGACTATAAGAAATGTGACAAGCCCACCTCCATCTCCTTCATATTTCTATTTACTTTTTAAAGAAATTACTCTGCTTCTTCCAGTGCTGCTTCTTCAGACACTTGTTAGTCCAACACATTCATAGGACAAAGAAAACACACCCAAATTTCAGAGCCCAGCTAGCTTCCCCATCCAAGACAGTGAAATGTTTTGAGAGCCAAGCCCAAATGCTTGTGTGTCAAGAAACAGGTTTGGAATATTGAATTATCTTTGAGTCTCTTCTACCTTGCTTTTTTTCCCCCCTAGTCTTCTCTTCTGGCCCAACTGTAAATACTTCTTTTCCAGCAGGAAGGTAAATCAAGGCAGGTTTCAAGCAGCTTCATTTAAGCTTGAATGTGCTGGACAGTGGCAAAGGTGGGCTCAACAGAGTAACCCCAGTGTGCTGAGTCATCTCTCAGACACACAGGATAACAGCAGCAGCTGGCTGTTATCACACCCCCAAAACTAGACTTTGTTCCCTCACTGGGATGGGTAGCTGATGAACTTGCAGGTGCTCTGTTACTTTGGAAGTCAAACTAAATAGAATAGAGTAGCAAGGACGAAGCCTGGTCAAGCAAATTCACCTCACTTTGGTGCAACTCAGTGCAGTGATAAGCAAGGTCACAGATCATGGTGACTAAGTCCCCTGCAGAGCTCTTGGCTTCTGCACTTCCATGTACATGTTTGGCAGTAGGGTTTAGTCTATGGCAGCCTGTTTCACCTGCATTTACAGCCCCCTTGTAACTGAAATATCTCCAAATCCAAGCACAGCTTTAAGACTGGCTTCTGGACATATGCTAAAAATAACTAAGGGCTGGTCACTGTCAGGAATAATGTCATGTGCTGGGCCAAGTGTCTTTAGCTATACTGGGACCAGTCCCAACCAGTCTCTAACTGTAGTGTCTGTGAGTTTGCTTTTAGGATGTGTCAGTGTGGGAACATGTCCAGGCCTGTAAATTTCGTGTACTTTACTAATTCAGTGCTGGCTGCTGTGTATCAAAATTGTTAAGAGGGATAGCAGCATAATTTCCAACTTCATGATGACTAACAGAAAATTGAAGCATTTTTCTAAAAATCTCACCTTACCAAGCATTGAACCCAGTGACCTGTAACAGGACATTAAAATGAACCTGTCAAACAAAGCCACATTTTTAAAAAGCTGTGCTAACTACTCTATTTGTCAATTCTGGTAAAAGAGAACTTCTTCCAGGAAAGCAAGGGGGAAGGGAGAGAGCACAGGGACTAAGGAAGCCTAAAATCAAAATCTGCATAACAAAAGCAAAGATTACTCCTGTTGAAACTTTGAGAAAATCATTTCTTCAAGACCTGTCTGGGCAGGCTGAGACCACACACCTCAGTCCTTGATAAAAAGTGAGACTGTTCTTGCACTAACTGTAGCTAGAATAAAAGGGAAGATGATGAGACTTTAAATGGAAAGAAAGACTGGTTATTTTGCAATACAATTTGCTTGCAACTTTATGC